TTTGATGGTTTCCCACATGAACCTTAGGCTTTCTTCACTTTGTTTTGATTTTTTTTTCTGATTGATCCCTTGCCAAAGAAGTATTCAGGTATTTGTCTTCAGTCTCATTAATTCTGTCTTCCATTGCATCAATTCTACTCCTTTGCCCTTTCAATGTGTTATCTATTTCTGACAATTTAGTGTTGATCTTCTGGATTTCTATCTGTAAATTTAGAATCATTTCTAATTTTTCATTTATTTTGTCCAGACCACTTTTAAAATACAATAGAGTACAATATAATTAGATGATATATATGGTTCAGTCATAGAATTCTTGTCTACCATGTGGGAGACTCGGGTTCAATTCTCAGGTAAGGTATCTTGTGCATACACACCACCCTGTCAGTGGAGACCTGCATAGTCTCATGATAAGCAGATTTCAGTAGAACTTTCAGACTGAGAGGGACTAAGAAGAATGGCATAATATTCTACTTCCAAAAATCAGCCAATGAAAAACCTTATGGAACCCAGTGGTCAGGTCCACACTCCATTATGAGAGTGACACAGGACTGGGCAGCATTTTGTTCTGACTTGCATGGAGTTGCCATGAATTGGGAGCCAACACCACAGCAGCTAGCAGCAACAATATTGTAATTGGGGATGTGTTTTTGTGATCTCTGTATTTTGCTAGGGAGCTGAATCTGAACCTATTTCATACACACACTGAAATGGTCAGGTTAACACTGTAGTTGCTAAGTGAGTTATTTAAGGAGACCTCCACATGACTCTGATTCATGGTGGCAGTCCTAAGAAGTGCATTTGTCCATCTTTGGGGGCAAGCCATGATTTTTGAGAAGTGCCATTATCCTGACCTTATCCTGACTTTTATGCCTTTGCTGAACTGATGAGTTTTCACAAACTGGGAAGATAACATTCTGAAAAAGGCCAGCTGTTGCATCAGGGAAAGCCGCAGGAATATATCCTTTTTAACTGCTGTGAAGTGGACTTTTTATTTTTGTTTTTTCTCTTCAGAGGGCATCCTCCTTTCTCTGCCTTCCTTTCCCCCATGCCATTCCACCCTTGCTCTTTTTCTACAGATCTCGTTTGCATACTATCTGTTTGTTCTTTATCATCATTACTGAACCCAATGTTTTTGTTGCAGTGAATATTGGCTAGTCTCTGACATTATTCATTTTCATTATATGTAATTTATACACCCTGGATTCTGGTCAGGTTGGATAATTTAGCTCTGATAGATAAATCAAGGCATATGCCACTTCCTTGGTATTTTTTCAAAACTATAATATTCTTTTCATTCATTCCAATAATGATTTTTCTTGTTGTTTTGAATGCCTGTTAGTCTGACTCAAAGGTCACCTCTTCAGGGAATATCTTTCCTGACACATCCAAAGTTAGTTGCTTATTTTTGCTATGATCCTACTGTATAAGAGCTTTCAATGTGAGAAATTAACTTGTTATCCCCTACCAGACTATTCCCTTCTTTATAGTAGCCACTATGTTTTCTACATTTTAGTATAATCCCTAGTATAGTTCCTGGAGTACAACAAGGGTCCAATTGAATGCATGCATGGAAGAATTCGTGTTCTAGCATGGAAGCAACAGTATGAAATAGTGTAATCTTTCTAAGCAACACTCTCACATCAAGGAATGATTGGTTTTTCTACTGTTCCAAATATCAAGTTTTGCTTCTTTAAATTGTAATGTGTTTTTGCAAACATTTTGATGAGACAGACGTCATTCCTGAGTTATCTATAGTAGTACTTAGAGCACACTTGTCAAAGGTACTTTTAAAAGATTGCTTTGGATCCTGAGGAGATATACTTAGTAACTGTATTGAATAAGTTGTCACATAATGCAATGTACCATTGATTTATTTATATTATTTTTGTGTCTTACTGCAGGCAGAGAATTCAGCATTGGCTTTGGAAAATGAAAATCAAAGGGAACAGTATGAGAGATGTCTTGATGAGGTAAGGTGGATGGAAATATTTCATGAAAAGAGACAGGATTATTTAGGAGTCCCTTCATCATACCATAGAATAAGAGTATTGCCAGACTCTACAGAGTCTATTAGCATTTTCTCTTGCAAAGAAAATTGCAAACATGTGGCCACTGAAAAGGGAAGTGTGTTCCCCTCCCACTCCCCTGTCCTATTTCTTATACCACCACACCAAAAACAATTGTCATTTAGTGATTGCCACTCATGGCGGCCCCATGTGTATCAGATTAGAATTGTGCTTCCTAGGGTTTTCAATGACTGCTTTTTCAGAAGGAGATCGCCAGGCCTGTCTTCCGAGGTACCTTTAAGTAGACACCAACCTCCAACCTTTTGGTTAGCAGTGTAGTGTTAACTGTGCCTTCCAGGGACCCAATTTCTTATACAAGAGTCCATAAATTCCTTTTAGGTATTGGCCAACATCCTTGTGGCACAGTTGGGATAGGCTTCACTGTTGAATAAATTCCTTTTTTCCAGTGAGTGTGATCCCTTCCTATAAGTGAGGAGTATCATGTAGGGGCATCTCCAACTGTGTGCCATTTCTGTAAAAGCAAATCCTTGATTGAGGTGGGTGGGGATGGTGTTCACAGTTGACAGCCAAAGAGGAAAAAGAAAAAAATCAATAGATTGAGAATAAGCCAAGAAGAGAAGGAGAAGTGAGGAAGAAAATTGGAGCAGACTGGAAGAACAGAGGGCTGCACACTTGAGAAAATTCAATATTATTTGATGATAATGAAGAGATGATGGCAAAGATGGGTGTTTCTGAGTTTCTGGGTGGTAAGGGGAGAATTCCTGTTTTGCTCTCCTAAAGATCACACTCTCACTCCATGCTGAGTCACCCCACCAGGGCTGGCCATTTGCCTAGATGACAAGTGCTCATCAGGGATATTTTGGTGACTGCAGTCATCATTTAAATTAAGATAACTTATTTAGTCATCTGCCAAGCACCCTAAAACTAAGCATTTGCTGTTCTGTGAGATCCATTACATGTAGCTACCAACAAAAACTCTACTTGCATTTAATCTGATTCCATTTTCTTACCAATGGAAACTAATGTGTATCTTTGTCTTTTTGTCCCCACTACCAATGGGAAAACTACTTCCAACAGACTCTTCTTGATCTTTCTTATGCATATACACTGTCCCAAAGATTGGTAGGTTATATAAGAAAAACACAGGCTCAAATCCCAGTCATGCTGTTTCTTAACTGTGTGTGTCCTCTGGCGAGCAACATGTCTGATTCTCTGTTCAGTTTTCCATAGAGGACTTGGTATTTGACACCTGACATCACCACCACCACCACTACAAAACTTTCCCATCCCTCCAAACTGGAAGTGATCTCTGTCCTCTAAGTTCCAGTAAAACCAAACCAGTTGCCATTGAATTGATTCTGACTTGTGGTGAGCCAATATGTCAGAGTAGAACTGTGCTCCATAGCATTTTTAGTGGCTAATTTGTTGGTAGTAGATCTCCAGGCCTTTCTTCCAAGGTGCCTGTGAGGCAACTCAAACCTCTAACCTTTCAGTTAGTAGCCAAGGACATGAACCGTTTGCACCACCCATGGACACCTGAGTTCCCGTAGTATTTGGTATTTTCCTACATGGTGGTTCTTAAAATGTCATTCCTGGGCTAACAGTATCATCCTCACTTATTAGAATGCAAATCCCCAGGCCCCACATGTACCTACAGAATCAGAACTCTAGAGGCTGGGCCAGAAATCTGTATCAATAAGCCCCCCAGGTGATTTTGGTGCATGCCACAGTTTGAAAGCCACTGTCCTTATAGATCATTTTGTATTACAATAATTTATATGTGGCATAAGAACTCTCAAAATATCACCAGAAAATATTTAATATTTTAATTGTTTAGTATTTCTACTAAAAGTGTTTCTACTAAGTTAGTATATTAGTTACTCAGGCACAATGAATGTGTGCAGTTCTTTGCCCTATCAGGACTTAAAAAGACTCAGAGTAATCTTCAGAGTGTCCAAAGTTAAAAGAATAACTGAAGTTCAGTTGACATAAAAGGGGAAATGATGACTCAGAGTCTGTTGAGGCCAGTTCAGCCCCCATCACCCCTGTTCCCCAGGCTGTTGGTCCAATCAAAGTTTAGGGCAAGAAAGACCACATAGATGCAAGGATATTTAAAGGAACAAATACTGCCCTTGGGTCATACATATCGATCAGCAATGTTTCACTTTAACCTCTTGCACAGACATTTCCAATGAGAGTTCATCTGTATTCAAAAGTCAAATTTATGTGAATCCCACCCCAGAAACTTTGTATTTCTCACAATTCTGCTGCAGGTCATCCCTCCCCATCAGTAAAAAAGCCCACAGCATGTTCTTATGGAAATTCAAATCCTATTATCTGTGTGTTCTCCATGTCTGCTTGTGCAAGTTTCATTCGTGCGTGTGGCCAAAAAAGTTTTCACCCACAAAATCATTTCTTGTCTAGTTCCCACTGAAGTCAAGAGTTTTTAGAGGGAGGGTCCCTCTGTTCTTAATTGCAAATTTAAGTATTGCCGAAGAAGTGATTTGTAGCTGAGAACCTCCTCCTCCTTGGAGCATTACAAATGTTTTGTATTCATGAAGACTGGCCCCTTATTATACATGCCAGTTGTTTTGTAACTAATTACATGAGGGTAGACAATCCATTTCCATGCATTGTAAAAGAACACTCTCAAAGGGGTAGTTGAATGTAGTAATAATGCCAACTGGAAATTCTTTTCAAGGCTTTTTATACTAATTAGACAAACTAACAAGGTAAGGCTTTGTGTAAGTTATTTCCCTGCTAGTAAGGTGCATAAAACATACACAGGTGTATAACATGTAAATTTGAATGTTCTTTAATTCTGTTCTCACTGATTGTTATTTCTTGGGAAATGAAGAGCATATTGTAGATTTGGGGAAAATATTTTGGAGTCTGACTGTCTTCTGTGTGTTCTAGTAAATGAGTTCATTTATCCAGAAGGAAAGTGACTCACACTACACACACACACACACACACACAAACACAAACACAGAGGCTTATTAGGCAAATACATGCACCCAAGTGCAAACACTCTGGCCCCTTCTTCAGACCATCTGAACTGGGCCAGAGTTCCTAATTGTCAATGAAATACCTTGATTGGGTTTTCTGACTTTTCTATGCACCACACTGCAGAGGACAGTGGCAGTGGAAAACTTGGTAGGTGCTGTTGAGTCAGCTCCGATCTGTAGCAACCCTATGTACAACAGAACGAAACACTGCCCAGTCCTACGCCATCCTCACAATCCTTAATATGCTTGAGCCCATCATTGCAGCCACTGTGTCTATCCATCTCATTGAGGGCCTTCCCCTTTTTCTCTCACCCTCTACTTTACCAAGCATGATATCTTTCTCCATGGAGTGGTGCCTTCTGAAAACATGACCAAAGTTGGTGAGACGAAATCTGGCCATGCTCACTTTTAAGGAACCTTCTGATTGTGCTTCTTCCAGGACAGATTTGTTTGTTCTTCTGGTAGTCGTGGCATTTTCAGCAGTCTTCACCAACACCACAATTGAAAAGCATCAACTCTTCTTCAGTCTTCCATATTCATTGTCCAGCTTTCACATGCATATGAAGCTATTGAAAATACCATGGCTTGGTTTGGTGCCTCTTAGTCTTCAAAGTGACATCTTTGCTCCTTAACACCTTATAGAGGTCTTTTGCAGCAGATTAGTCCAATGCAATGTGATGTCTGATTTCTTGACTGCTAGTTCCATGGGTGCTGATTGTGGATCCAAGTAAAATGAAATCCCTGACAACTTCAAACTTTTCTCCATTTATTATGATATCCTCTTCCCAGTCTGTGTTAGTCTGGAAGCTCCACTGAAATCTGTCCACCATGGGTAACCCTGATGGTATTTGAAATACCAGTGGCATAATTTCCAACGTTACAGCAACATGCCAGCCACTACTGTACAGCAAACTGACAGAAGAGTGGTAGAGAGGAAAATTGGAACTTTGAATTTAGTTCAAAAAACAAAGTATTTATTTTACTCAAACAGTTGTTGTCAAGTTTACCCTGAGCCAATGTGTATTAGAATAGAACTATGCTCCATTGGGTTTTCAGTGGCTCATTTTTTTTTTTTTTTTTTTTTTTTTTTTAGAAGTACATCATCAGGCCTGTCTTCCAAGGCACCTCTGGGTGAACTTGAACCACAGACCTTTTGTTTAGCAGCCAAGCACATTAACTATTTACAGAATTTCTGTTTAAACCAAGGCGGTTCTAAATATAGAGAAAAGTACATTCTTAAGGATAGTTTATATCTGCCTGTGGTCCATATGGCATATGCCTAGACTTGAGGGTAGAATAATCAGTATATTCTCTATGAATATTCTACATCTGGACCCAAAGTCATCTTTAAAATCCAAGTTGATGGACACACATGGAGAATGTTCCTGCCTATGACTTTCACATGCCAAGAAATCCAACAGATGATTCTGCTCTGTGTTGGACTCTGCCTTGAGGCAACCCCTACATTCTATGTGCCACTATTCCTCTAGAACCTAGTACAATTTTTGGTACATACCAGGTACTCAATGCATGTTTGTTGAATGAATGACTGAATGAATGAGTGAGTGAAGATTATCACCAGTAAATTCGTTTCCAAATTAGTTTTTCCCTAAATCCCATATATATTTTTTTACATATGTGTATATTTTAGGCTGATTCTCCCACTCCCAATTATCTCCTCAGAGACTACACATTCACAAATTTGTATAAACCCCCCAAATAATCTGAAGAGTAAATGAGCTGGAAGGAAAATTAACCTTTTTAGAAGACTGCTTTTCGTAAGAGGTGACCACATGGACTTTGGATTTGGCAGACCTGGGTTCAAATGCTAGCACAGCCACCCTCTGGCTGTTTGATGTGGGGCAGTGTGTTTACTTGTCTGAATTTCATCCTCATTTGTGTCTTACAGGGTTGCTTTACAGAGTAAATGCACAG